ATATGGTCTTTACTTTATTATTTTTAATTTTTAGAATTTAATTAAATTATATAGTAAAGGAAGTAATAGAGGTACATAGTGCAGGTTTTTTGAATGAATGATGTTTAGTTCGAGGACGATCGAAATATTGCTGGTTTATTTGTGGGTCAATTTGAGACCAATCATATTGCTGATACATTCTTCGATCCGACTGGTTGGAGTAAAGGACAATTATTTATTAATGGTCACAACATTGGTAGATATTGGCCAAGTATTGGGCCTCAGGTTATTCAATTCATAATTATTGTAGATCATATTCATTCAGAATCAAAATATTTTGAATATCAGTTCACTAAGTAGTTATAAACCTGAACTCATAATTATTAATCACCAATCCATTCTTTATTTTTTGCAGGTAACTTTGTACGTACCGGCTCCTTATCTAAAGCATCGAAATACAGTAATGTTGTTAGAATTAGAAAGTGCTGGCAACTGCAAGACCAAATTTTGTACAGTCAATTTCACTGATCATTCAATATTAAATTTGTCTTATAACAGTCTTCGTTGATCACAAGGTAGAATAGAATCCAAATATATTAGATGAAAAAGTCGTTGCATCACATTACATTTGTTTGATCTAAGCAAACAGGCAAACAGGTCGAACATCAATTTAATTAATGGTGGAAAAATTTTTTGCATTTTTCCAAATCAAAAAGCATCTGGAAATTTTGTTCAAAGTTTGTTTTCTGTGCAAATTGAAATTTGTGCAAAATTTTGAAGAATGCATTAAAATTTATTTGTTCTTAACATTGTTGTTTCTTTGCACTGTGCCATTTGTGCGAAAATCATTTCTATGTACAGTTTTGCAGATGTTTTACAATACAAATAATTAATTGCAATGTTCTTTGCCCGAAATGCAAATCAAAATTTTCGATCAAGCATAGTCTCACTACTGTTGACTTAATTACTATAATTAAGGTTCAAATAATGACTACATTTTATTTCTTGTACATTCCATGAAAACAATAAAATAAATATTGTCGTGAATAAAGCGTGTCAAGATTTTGACCCATTTCTGACTTTCAGTAAGCTAATTTAGTTTTGGATAAGGTCAATATCAAATTATATTTTTTGAAATGCAAACAAATTTTCTAAATTTTTAGTTTTTAAATTTCATATGCAGTTTTCCGTGGAAAAAGAGCTGTTGAAAATATATCTCAAATTAATAAACTTAACAGCTCGCACTATTCCTTATGACATATGGATGCTATTTCACTGATGGCTCAGAAAGAACACAAAACATTGAAGAAAGTAGAGTAGAATCTTAGCATTTTTACTACTTTTTTGGAGAAACCAAGCAGTAGCAAGTTGCAAAAATAAAACATACAAATATAATAAGTATTAGTCAAAGCTTATCACAAACAAAACAATGAACTTAAACGACCCTCCGATTAAATGAAAATAATTAGCACATCAAAATTTAAGTGAATTAATTATAAAGGCCATTGCTAACATTTTGAAAAAGGTGAGAAAATTTTTCAATGCATTTTTAAAATATATAATGAACTTAATAGTCAAGTAATATTAGAACAATGGTTAATTTTTTTGATTTCATGTGACTTCTGACCTTAGCTTTAACGGATTGTAAATGCCCGAAGCAAATTTGGTTTTTACTTGAATACACAACCTCCATTTTTGATAAAAAAATTTTTTCTCAGTGTAGAAAATAAAAGCTTCATGGATTGATTACATTTTTGACAAATTAAAATGAAATCATTTTGTGTGTTACAAGCACAATGTAATAATACAGTTTTCAATTTTATTAATATTTTTTGTCGTTCATTTTGTGGCCAATTAGTAAAACAAAGCACAAAATTTTATTACAAACGAAAAAGATTTATCATTTCGCACTAATTGAGTATATTACTTTATTCTAATTAATTATTTACTGATCAATATGTCAGTTAAAAATTAGAAAGAACTTTTATTAAATTCAGTAAGCAATTTTGAATAATAAAATCAAATGTTAACTTAATTTAATTAGACAATAACTAATTTTACATAATATGCAAATTAAAAATATGAAAAGTAATGCAAAAAATGTTCATAGTAATGGCAGTACATTCGTAGTTATGCTGTTAGCAGTAGCAATACATATGCAATTTGAATGTGTAAAGGTCAAAAGTTAAAAGTAAAAAGAATGAAATGAATTGATGGATATGTGAAAGACTGTGATATAATGAATAGCAAAAAGTTAATAATAATAATATGAAAGCACAAAACCATAGATGAAAGCAAGGAAATTTCAGAATTTTGTGGTTTATTCAGTTTTGAGCCATTTGAATGATCAAAACAGTTGTCAGTTCTGAATACTTATCAAAGTAATGACCCTTGAAAAGCCAAAAAATATTCAAATTTTATCTTCAGTTGCTGATAAGCTCCAATTCCTTAGAGATGTCTTCATTTCTTAACACAATGGAATTATTATAATTTTTAATATGCAACATTTAAAGTAGAACATCTAAGTTACGGTTCATGCTGCCAAATTATTAAAAAATAAGGAAATCAGCTTTTGAATACTTTGAATACTTACTTGCTAATCAAATGCTCAAAAAAAAAAAATACTAATTCTTACTGTACAGGGCAATGTGAAATCTAAATAAAGAATTTTTAACCTTCCGATTCTGTTTTTAATTAAATTATAACTTTCCAATATTTTAGTACTAAAATATAATTCGATGCTTCTGATGCAAATTCAGTTCTTCAAGGCTCTATCAAAAGTCATTAAAGCAGAAATGAATAATTACTCTGAAAAAAATTTTCAGAACAAAATAGCTGTATAACTTTTAACATTGATATTTCGACCCGAATATCGTAACATAGCTAGCTAATTCGAAAAACATAACTTTGCTTCTATTGCACCAATAAGACATAAATAAGTATTAATCATCTAGAAATTTGCATTCAAATGTACAGTAATTAATTTAATATTAAAAGATTTTTTGAAGCAAATTCAAGCATCAGCCCAGAGAATTCTATGTATTAGTTCTTAAAGTCGAAATTTTCTTCAAAGTCTGAATTTTTGAGCAGTTAAAAGTTACATATTCACAAAGTAAAGTAAAGATTATATTTAAATTTCTAAACAAAAGAATAGAGTTGTATCATTAATTATCATTTGTTTAATTATTGAAGCATCCCACAAACTCATCTATTTCAACAGGATATTCTTGGACAATTCGATATTTCTTCGTGTCATAAATCTGGAAAAGATTGAGATAATTTTCCTCATTGGATTCAATTTTTAATCAGTGATTAAAGGGATATTAAATTATTAATTGCGTTATCAATTTACCTACATTGTAAACTATTACTTGAAAGAAACTATTAAAATTCGGTTTCCATGTTCTTATTTGAATTTAAATTTCATTCCAGTGTAATAGTATAAATGAATTTACCTATATTCAAATGAAGAATGAAAATTAGAACAAATAACTTTTCAAACATTTTCGAATGATTTGTGGCAACTATATCATTATTTTATTAAAAATAATACATAAACGCTTAAATACTTGCCTGTATTCTGTTAGAAGCAGTATAAAGAATGAATAAAGATCCATTTTGATATGATGATCCGATCAGATCAATAGGAAAATAAGGAAAGTAATCAGACATTTTGCCTGCAAAAGTCGCTAAATTCCAATATGGATCGAAAGTTACAAAATTATCGCCCTGAAAATCATTAAATTATTAAAGTTCATTCATTGATAAGTGAAAATTGAATAGTTTTTTTTAGTACATACTTCAACAAGAACTTGATTGCCATCAATCCACTGAAACCCTGCTCGTGGATATAGCGTGACTGTTTTCGTCAGCACTTCTGGACTTTTCCGAGCCAACTGAAATTCAACTATTTTAACTTTAAAATATTCTTTGAATAAAAATCTTTTCATTAATAATGCAGAAATAGCTTTTTATAAAAAAATTCTTAATAGTTATATTCAATGATATATTTACGTAAAATAACTCACAAAAAAGAATTTCTTTTTTCGATTCCATCGATAACGATAAACTGTTTGATGTTCAATGAGGATAGTAACACCGCTTCGATAATTAGTATACGCCGCGGTAACCGTACGTGGACCTTTCGGAAACATTTCGTTTACAAAAAATGATGCTTTTTGATTAAAATTGTTGCGTCTCCAAATTTCGTAGACACGATCACGGGCAAACACATACGTTCGACCATTAAAAGCTATAAAAAATCTAATATCTTGAGAATTTGATAAATGCTCAATTTTAATCTTAAATTTTAGTGCAATTTTTAGTTGCAGTCATAAACTGTAGTCTGTAATTAAAAGTTTTCTGTCGTAAAATCAAATAATTTTCGACAATTATATACATATAAAAGAATAAATGAATTTGATTAATAATAGTCAAAGTACCCCTTGTGACAGCATCAAAGCGATGTGGGCAGTTTTTCATAGGTAACGCCAAAGGCTTCAAGTAAGCTGAGGAAGATTTGACATCGTGGAATTGCTTCCAACTGCTATCCTTGATGGCATTCATTGGAAGCTGTGTACTGCTTGTGATATTTGGAGTAGAAATAGCAGTAGTGGAAAGGATTTCTTGCGTTGCATCATAATTTTCTTGTACAGATGACTGAGAGGTAAAAGTTTGGAATGAATTCTGAGCAGAATGCTCTGGGATACTTGTTTCCCAGTATGCTGGCGATGGCGATGTCTCCCAGTGCGAGACATGACTCGTCCTTTCCCACTCAAAAGGCCTTTTTCCATCTTCTGTCGCTGTTACTTCTGATCTCAAATCAAAATTTTTTGACTGATCAGAATCTTTCCAGTTTTGTGTGTCACTATTCACCTCATCCCATAATGTTGCATGTAAAGTATCTAAATCCCAACGAAGTTCATCACTATCATCATCAATAAACTCATATCCGGTCTTGGGATATCTTCGTGCATGTCTGGGTTGTCTCGAAAGTATTTTATCTGAAATTCAGTTGGTGGACAAGTCATAAGCAATCAACAACTCTGAAATTAAATTGAAATTCAAAAACTTAGTAATAATTAAAAATATGGCATAGCAAAAAAGTAATCATTTAATTATAGTTAAATTTTTAAAATAAAACAAAAATAAGTTTAGATAATTTTACTTTTATCGCTTCTTTTCCGTTTTTTTTCAAATGGATCTTGCCCTGATTCGATGATCATTGCAATCTTCTGAGCTGTAGTAAGTTTTGGGATTTTCATTGGAATTACTACCTTCTCATCGTCTTCTGCTTCAACTGGCAATAAGCGATTACGACGTCGATGGTTAATCACTTTTGTAGTTCTTCTACCCTTAAAACAAATACTTACTTAATTTCTAACCTTCTAAAATTTTTTCAAGAATTATAAGTTCATGAGAGTAAAATTATCAGTAAAAATGAAAAAATGTAATTTATGACTAAAGCAAACAAAATGTTTGATTAGAGCAAACTTTAATCAGCGAAGGAAGTTTCAAACCTGCTTCATCCTTTTTTTCAAGTTTGTTTCAGCACTGCAACATGCTAAGCATGCAAAAATAGTCAGAAGACCTATACTGTACAGCCACATCCTGAATTATATGTGTTTATTATCTCAAATTCTGTAATTTCTGATTATATTTGTAGTGTACAAAAAATACAGTAAGTAACAAGAAGGTCCGATGTCGATCTCTGTGAATGCATTAGTTTCTTTGTTAGAAATATTTTTAAGTTACATGTTGTCATGAAACAATGATATTTATTAAGTTACCATAGAAAAATTATTTACTAAAATATTTTTGATCTAAAA